TATCTATCTATCTATCTATCTATCTATCTATCTATCTATCTATCTATATATATATACGCCACAAATGGCACTGCATTCTGCACATAGGTAGATTGATGAGGAAAGTTGTAAAATGATATCATGGAATGATTATGTGTGTCTGTGACCACAAACTTGCAAAACTATTACTATAACTGTTGTCTTTATAAGGTTAGGCCAAAGATTTTTCTTCATGATAAATCGGTTCATATCCCCACAGAATATTTTGACCTAGCAAAGAGGAAGTAGTTGGAGATGATGTGCTTCTAAAAAAAAAAAAAAAATGCTTAGAGCATGGAGAGATGGGAACACCAAGGGCACTTAGAGGAGTGTCATTTTGATGGGGGTTATCAGTGGAGCGAAAAAGGAAGAACTGAATATTTGCTTTTTTCCCTCCACGGCTTCTGGTCAAGAGGCCAGCATGCACCAAGTAACAGCTGCATCTTAATGTTACCATAGTTGGGTATCGTAAAAGTGACTGTTGACGGAATTTTCGCTTCAGCAGTTGTGTGTCTGTAGTGATGTGCTTAGCTGCTTTTTGGAGTGTTTGACAGATCAACACTGTCAGCCTACTGTCACTTCATATCTTAAAGGTGTTAGTACAATACCAGTGAGGATAGTGCTGCTCAGCCCCATTCATTAGTGTATGTTGGTTGTAGAAAAATACCTGATTCGAATCATCTCTAAGAAATGCCAGTAGTTGTTGACTGTCTCCCTCTGTGAGACAGAAAGATCCAAAATTCTTGAACTGTTGGTAGTCTTCAGGTTTCAAATCTTCTTCTTTAGTGTCTCTCTAAATACAGGATGAAGGATTGATTAATATATTAAATAAATCTTTGATTGAGCTTCCTTGAATAAGGCTCAACATATTTGTGGTTTTGCATATGTGAGAACAACATAGTATAAAAACTGTTTAAAAATGTTTGTGAACCTTTAGAAACTGTTTTTATACTATGTTTGTCTTATATGTTAAATGTAAGAAAAACATGTAACATATAACAATCTTCCCATCAATCATGTTCTTACATGAATGATGGGAAGAGGGAAATGTAGAAACCTACAATATACCAATTCATTACAGAGCTAGCTCTTATCTGACTTGATCGTAGCAGTTCATTTATCAAAACCGATTTTATTTCAAAACTTTCCCTTACCTAAAAGCCAGATACCACATGATCATGATATTGAGTATGCTCAGCTCAGCTGAATTCTGTTACAGTGAAAAAAAGAGACTTGGGTAGACTTACCCAACTCTGGATTACGCCATTCAGCTGATCGTCATTCATTAGCAGCATCTCCTCAGCTTTCACAGACAATCCTATTATCAATATGTTTCTTTTTTGTCTTTATACACCACAATAGATGTCTGACAGCTATAAGAGTGAATATAAAAATGTTTTAGCTTTCCCGATGTCTCAAGAGAGAGAGCGAGATTCAGTCTGTATGGAATCTAAACATAAACCTCTTATCTCCCCTTTGTGGTTGACATGTAATAGGATTAAACCAGAGCACTTCTACATGGTCACTGGAAACGTGTGTCTTTCTGGAAGGATCCAGTTACCTTACACTTTTTTGGACTTTTGTTTCATTGAACTATATCAAAGGATTTTTTTTATCCCTCAAAGATGTATAGCATCCCGAAATATATTTGAAAATTTTACTTACATACACTGCATTTACCTAAAACTTATACCCAGGCTTTTGTGGCCATTACTATGACAGAATTTGAAATTTAGCCACCATATATATATATATAAATATATATTATTTGTTGTTATTGTCATTGCTATTTGTTGTCACATTATCCCTAACAGATAATTAGGCATAATTCTTGGAAATATTATCCATGACATGTCTGAGGTTACAGACTTTTCTACTTCATTATAACCAGTAGGTTATTGTTGACAGACGCCCAGGGATTAAAAACCATTTCCACAATTGCTTAATTAACATATTGTTCTTTTGTGTAAACACAAAGCCTTGAAAGGCTTGGGTTCTCTTTCCCCTCTCTTTCCAATTTTTCTAATATAGTAAAGTAAAATCACTGACTCCCTGGTCTATCCAGACAACATCAGCACAAGAGCAGCTTAAGTACTTATTTTCAATGAACAGGCAGAGAAGCTTGTTTGAACAGTTGGATTTAGCAGGCATCTGCTGTTCAGGTTTGCTTTCTATACAACCATTTGATGAAAGCTTTGGACAAAGGTGACAAAGCAAGTACAGAGCATACACTGCCTCATTCTATATTTGTCTCTGATTTATTTGTTTTTACTTGCCAGCTTATTTTATATGTAAGAATAAATTAATTACTTAATTTATTAGTTACTTTTATATAATGATGTCCAACAACTATCCAATATTTCACACTCAGACTAATCATTCCTTGGTTGAATTTCAGTTATTATAATTTAAATTGATTTATTTTTTGCAGTCAGGGGTTTTTAGGGGCCCAAAAAACACTAGGAGTCCTTTTTCCCTGACCAGCAGAAACATTGAATAACCATTAGTGAGAATATGGTTCACTCCTTTTTTTTTGTTCAGGTTTTTAATCCAGAAAAAGTATTTGTTAGTTCTTTGAAAGCAGTGATCACTCTCTAACTCAGGAGGGCACTGTTTGTCTGGCTGGCAGCAATGGAAAGGTCATTGAGATTATACTAAGGTAATATTTTGCATTTTGTAAAATACAAATGTGTGCATTTGTAAAATGCAAATGCATTTATCTGATTTCCATGACAAATACGTGAAAGGCCTGTATTCTTCATACATTGCATGACAAGTATAAGCCAATTGCCATTCAGAAAAGGTGTCTGTATGTTATTGCCTGTCCTTCACCTATTTTCAGCTGGCACAATTAAACATCTTAGTAAATAGGGCGGTAAGTGTAAAAATAAATTGTTTTAGTTCAAGTATCATCAATATACAAAGTTGTACTCTGAATCCATCCACCCATCCATTATTTACCTGCCTAATTTAATTAAATAGCCCATCCCAGCCATCATTAAGAAGTAGGGTACACCCTGGATATATCCCCACAGGGTACGGTATGTACAATCACACACCCCTCTGGGGCCCTATTAAAAATCATGAATCAGCTAACATACATGCATGCTTAAAGTGCAAGTCATTCTATCGTACACACATCTCATATGAAGTAGAATAATTAGTGACTTTACTCAGATACCTTGACTAATGAGTTTAGTTTTCATCCTGAGCAATAGATACTGTACACGTGTCTGAGTGTATTGTCTGGGCATGTGGAAACTGGCTGTTCTGAGTCATATCCAAAGTCACTGATATCACATATCCATTTATATTTTATATGCTGAACTACAACAACACACTTGTGGAACAACATTTCAAGAGAGCCTATCTTCAGAACATTAGCTAAGGTAAATTTGTTGTTTTTTTTCAACTTTTTTGATTATTCATTTCTTGCAGGAAGGTAGGACGGCTAAACAAAGAAGCATTTCTGTTGCGCAGCAAATGTATGCAGTATTTATGGAATAGTCTGTTATACAAACAGACAGCAATCCTATAAGGACAAGATGAAAGGGTCGGCTTTTTTCTTTTCCATCTTATATTTCCTTAGTGACCTCTTAGAGAGCAAGTGGTTCTAAGTGATCTATTTATCCTATTGGCTCCCCCTGGAGACTTGGGAGGACTTCTGCATGCTCTTTGGACTGCCCCAAGCCTCTCAAAGCATTGCTGTGCATGTCAAGAAAAACTGTCATGTTTAGGACCTCTCTCATGGGTCCTACTTTCAACATGCTCCTGCTTTCCGTGACACAAAGATACATTTGATTTTCAGAACTTTTTAAAAAACCCAGATTTGCTTTTGGGATTTACTCTGTACTATTCTGTCTCAAAGATTTAAAGTGAAATAACTAAGGCCTACAAACCATCCAATTTAAGGGAAAATATACATGTTTCCAAAAGATTTAGTGAATAATAGTCATTCTATTAATGTGATTATCTTTCATGCTTCAATTTCTTAAACTTGTTGACAAGACTTTAACTTTTGATCTTTAACTTTTGTATTCTGAGAGCAGTATCTCCACCTCAGAAAAAATATTTTTTCCACCTAGACTCGTTGTTTAATTTAGCATTCGTTTTTGGTGTGTTGTGTGCTTTATGTTATTCTTTCCTAATCTCTGTCTCCCTTCTGTCTGTGTCTAAACATGTCCCTTCAATATCATTCACTTTTTTAGGGATTTGCTTATGTTGATTAGAAATAACTTTAATGTTATAAGTATATTGGCATTCAATAATCTTAGAATAAGGATACAAACAATTGTGCAGCCTACATATTTATGCATCTGACTTGGTTTTCATAAAAAAAAGCTCAAGAAAAACTTCAGACAACATTCAAGAAGATTATTTTTGAAGATATGAGGCCTAATGTTCTTAACTACCAACTCCTAAAACCAATTTTTTTTTTGTAAAAACTTTTTATTATGTACCAAAGACACCATGTTGTGCCTCCATAAAAACATAACAGTTGATTCCGAGCTAAATCAATGCATAATCCACTATGTGAAAAAATATTATATTGTTGATCAATCAGCAGTTATTTTCCTCTTGTGTGGGGCCCTGACATTCTAGCATTTATTCCTTCAGAGGACAATTACACTAGACATAGATTCATTAAATGGTGTGTGGGTATTGTATTCACAACGATCATTGTTCATGGAAACACTTTAAATGTTATTGTGTTTTTGTAGAAGCTTGGAAAAAGCTAAATCTCCATCAAACTAAGACAGTATATATACTTGGTTTGTCATGTAGTTAACACAGACTAGTCCTAGTACCAATTCTTTGACCTCAGAGTTCACATTTACATTTTTGCCTTGTTCCCCACCAGAAGTGCAAGTAGTGCTGGAGTCACGAATGTGAATATCTTTCAGGGGTAAGAGATACACCAGTGGACCAAGCGCTATTGGATAGGGTGGTCTTACGAGAAAAAAACTTGACCTCATCCCTCCACATGTAGGGAAGGGTTGTGTCGGTGAAGTCTAACTGTATGTTTAGCAGACATTTGTTGGTGCTTCTGGGAAAGACTATCGCTTTAAAGTAGCCCGGTCTTTTTCACATCTTTCAACATGTTGTAAAGCTGCTTTATACGTCAGTGTACAATGAGTTGAAAGCTAACAAGGTGAGACAAAGCCCTGACCGGATGCTGCAGTCTTTCCAGAGCTGCTGCATCTGTCTGCTATCGAGCGATTGCCAGAGAATGGCATTAACAGATCCATATTCCCTGTACCATGGATTCAGACTTCATCACCGCCTGCTCAACCTTTTGTAAATCGGAATTTTGATGACAATACCCATTGTCAAGTTGTTCTCAATCAATACACACAGCACGGACATCTTAATAGACACAAATAACTGCTGCTTGCCAACTGTATCTCTGGGCTGTAGAGACTGACACCCTGTCTGTATCTGATCAATAAGTAGTGCATGTCCTGGCTCACAGGCGCAGCCCAGCACACTCTGCTATAACACACATGGCTTGGTTTCCTGGAGCAGCAGGGCAAAACTGCACAGCAACTCCCTAAGGTGGATGAATTGGAGATGTTACATGTGAACTGGCTGTCAAAATGATTTTGTCATCCTCTCTTCTCTCCTGTGTTTAAAGATGCTGACACACTGTGTTTGGGTACCAAAGCCTTGTTGGAAGTGATGGAGGCTTTTAGCTTTTTGTTGTTTTTTTTTTCTAAACTCCCTTTATCCATTTAAGTGTTCACTTAAGCATTAAAATGTCTATGTCACCTGCCACGGATGTCTCCTGGCACTTTCTTCCCACCCACAGCTTCCATTCCGGTCATCTTATCTGGACCCTTTTTTAATTCTCAGAATTTACAGCTTTATGAAGAATCTTTACTTTCATGACTAGTTATGACACTTACATTTCTACAATACGTTTAGTTGATTTGGCAAAGAATCAACAGACTTGCCGTCCTCTAAAGAAGAGTTTCTCAGATATCAGTATTGTCTTTCCGAATTTTACTTGGATCAAATTAAGTTAATACTTTTGTTAGGAGGACAGTTCCAAGTAAAGTTAATAGTACAAATAGGGGAGGCCAGATCAGATTGAAATGGCGGTCATTAATGTTTCAGGGGATGCCAGAGGGAGAATGAGCGAGTTGCTGCACTGCCGGGATCCATTTCCTCAGACTTTGGCTAAGTCATTTCAGATCAGTCTGTTACAAAGTGTTGCAAACATTGATGAGGATAATTAGATATATTTGGTTTATTTTATGCTTTTAAGTCATCTCCATTCATTCTCTTGGATTATAGGCGATACATTTGAGAACAACACTGTAAATGCTTCTGAAATAAATATTTTCTCCCATGGGGTTATAATGAAAGGCATCCTCTTTATAACGCAATCATTTTCTCCTGTTCCATTTTCCTCAACCATGGCCCAATGTAAATCTCTGGGGCTGTGGAGGTACTTACCATCTACTCGTCTATA